ATGGAGTAACAATATGAGGTAAGCTGTTCGGTCTGCCGATTTCAAAGTCCCTTGGTTCACCTACTCAGAGGTCATTTTTAAACAATCAAGTTACGATTGTTGGTGTTAATCGTATTTTTTATGAAAATGTAATAAGTTGAAGTGGAAAGCGAGCACATTCACCCCGCCTTTCCGAAAACTGGATTATTTGCATTTGCTTCAATGGAGGCAAAACTTAGTGCTACCCTTAAATGTCAACATAATAAAAGTTTTATCGAACAACCCTTGTCATTTTAAATTTTAACTTGCTCATGTATGCACATTTCTCGATATGTCTTGCATGTGCTTTTGCAAAAAGTCGTTACTTGAAACTTGTCTTGTTGGCTAAATTTGGCGCTTTTAATAGTTGGAGTGTTAACCATTATAACTCACAATTAATTTCTAACAAGACAAGACAGCTACAAATTACACCTTGTTAAATGTCTACCTCTAATAACATGGAATAACTTATTTCTGATCGTTTATGTTTCCTCATCAATTTTATTTACCAACTGTCACCGTCTACTTGACATGTGATTAGGCACGGTGATAAGCATCGCTTGGCAAAGTTTCAGCAACAACAGGATAACTGAGAAAGAGGTCGAAGACGAGAGCGGGGTGGTGAACCACTCCCTTATTTTCTCTGTTCAAATGTTAATGCTCACCATAATTAAAAACTTTAGTCATTCACACCTTAAAATGCAAGAGCAACTAAGTGATCGTTTGAATAGGCATCCATTTGTTTGTAAATGTAGGCGAGACACATTTGCTCAGCCTTCATCACATTTCTCCACTCCCAGTTGTAGCTGCACATAAATTGTTGCACCACTCGCTGTAAATATGACCGAGGGCTGTTATTGATAAGCGAATTTTAACCTCCTTTTGTTAATGCTAACAAGTAGACCTTTGAAAGTTTGGAGATCAAAGAATCTTCCTGAAACTAGAGGCAGTCACTTGAGTAATTTTGTTCTGAGTTACATTTTCAAACACTAGGCAGTGCCTCTTCTTTATTACTTCTTTCAAGAAGTTGATAATGAGCCGACTCCTCTTAGCCAAAAATCTACTTTTAGACCGGATTTTATAGAGGAGCTTTATAAACTGCATCTGGTGGATCAGATGTGCGAGGTCAAAGAGTAGATGAGATGGACATGGAGCTCATTCAGTGAGAGGACACCGAAGCAATAGACATAAGTGGCACGCTTGTATTTGCCTTTGATAAGCGAATGCAAGAAATTGGGTGCATTTAACCAGCACCGAATCGCGGCACGCCTTTGGAGACGGCTGTATTAGAAACTGAAGCGAATGAATGACTGCCTGCTACTTTTACCGCTTTAGTTGAGCATCACATTATCTCCCATAAATTCCCAATTTATCCTGCTTGAAAAAGCACTGTTGCTATTTTTTATTTATCGTGGTGCGGACGTAGAAGCGTTCATGTGAGTTCGTTTAGGAATGGTAACATAAAAATTTTTATCACCTGCCCCAACAAAGTCAACAAACTTTTAAAGTATGCTAAAGCTGTGCGTTAAACTAAATGCTTGATTTACTTATTGCAGATGCTTTTATTGGTTTGCAAATTGCATGATTGACTTTTTGCCCAAATGACTGGCAAGAAATAGCACTCCAGTTAACTTTGACGTCACAAATTAGTCAAGTACTATGTGGCTACGGTTCTAAGTCAACGTTTAACTCATGTCATTATCTTGTTTTAGGAAAGAATGTTAAAACTACGTCTAACTTGGTGGTTTACATTTTCCTCCGAACTTAAAGCTCTGAAAAAAAGCTGAGTTTAAACACTAATGCAAAGGAATTTTAGTGAATGGATTTGACAAAAGATGTTCGCAAATACAGCCATTTTGCCTATTCCTTTTTAAACATGGTAACGCTGAATTTGTCTACTGAGAAAAAGTGAACTTTTAAGGGGAGTGACTCATCGCACGATGGAGAAGTAAAAAGACGACAGTTTTTTAAAACACCTCACTTACGTTGATCACGGCCAACGTGGGAATGGTTTCGGATGCATCCTGAAGTACAACTTTGATAAAACTTTTACTCAACGAAATGAAGAACTTTAGTTACCAAAGTGAGACGATATTTAACTTCCAACTTTTAGTTTGGAGGCGGCACATTTTTAGAAGTCTGTTTACCAAGGCCGAACGCGTATGAATACATTAAGGGATTAAGTACCGCAGTATTACTAAAAAGCATTTAAATAATCTGATTTAAGTGTCTAACGAACATTATGCACATGATGAACAATAGCATCAGGAGACGTTCTAATGACCGCAGTATACTATGGGGATAGTCTTTAGCCCGGTTTTCTTCATTACAACTTCTCGAAGGGCAGTAAAAGGCTTAACTTGTCTATGTGAGATAGTACCTAGGAAAGTAATTGGCATCCCACGGGAAGTCCATGGTGCCTGCTAGAGTTGCAGACATCCACTCAATCCATAGGTTGCCATTAAAGTATAATTTGTTTGTGCTGCACTGTAAAACTGATCGCTGTTTAATAGCAGAAAAGCAGTTAATTAGTTTAAAATAGTTGTTGATTTAATCATAATCGTAGTGCGCTGCCGTAAATGCAGTTGTTAGGACTTTAAATGCTCTATTCAGTTGGTATTCATGCAAAATTCAATTAAAGATTTAATGTTTGCATAATGGTGAGATGTTCTGATAGCCCTGCAACTTAATTCATTGCAGCCTGTATTACTTATATTTGTGAGTGGATGTAGAAACTACCACTTCCTTTGATAAACCGACAGGCCACGAATGAAGTCAGCGGCTTTTCAGAACTTCAATGTATTTACGTGGTACACAGTAACGATCCGTGAGTACACCCTTACAGTCCAGATTAGCAGACCGTAAAACGGTTGTCCCAGTGGTTTTCAAAGAATCGCAGGTTTATTGCTATTTGTGAGCAGTCCAACAAAATTGACGTTACAACTTTTAGTTACTATCTCCTCCTCAGAGATGTTACAGTCTATCAAATAGTCTTTGCAGCTACTTATTTTGCTACTTAAATGGAATGTGGATCGAGGCACATATTTTCGCATTGTTGGTTAAAAATATTAACACAAAAATACATAAGCGGAGAATACGTGGGTGTTTTATTGCTTTCCTAGTGCGTGATTGGTTAATGGCACTGCCCCTTGCAATGTGTGACCAATGAGAGGTGTCCACTGCACAGAGGCGCATTCATTTATTGGCCTTCATGCTTGACACAAATAAATTGCAAATAAAATTTTCAAATACGAGGACATACCAATCTTTTGTGTTTGGAGCCCTCTATTAAAATGCAGGACATGCTAATAGAGGTAGAACTATAAGTTGCATTACTTATGTGCATGCATATGAACGGTTGCGGTTCTCCGTTAACTTTCGCTAGATCAAGGATTCATTAGCATATGATCTCAATATTTAAAATCGCCAGAGTTACCAGTAAAGCATTTACAAGGATAATAGTTAAAGATTTAAGGATGTGAGCGATGCAATTTACTTAATACCTGTGACGTTAGTGCAACATTAAAAATGAATTATGTTGGCTATGGAAAGTTTTAGTTTTTCTCATTGAAGTACAAAAAGGGTTAGAACCTAATTTCAACGAGGAAGTTCTTTTAGAGAATATGGAATAGGAGGTGGCATCCCTATCACAAGCACAGAATATAATCCTATCTAAGTCACTTTTTTGCAGCAAAATTGCTTATAATGCCTTGTGGGATCTTGCAAGGGGGATGACAAAACCTGACTTTTTATCCTAGTTGAGTCAGGCAAAATTATTACCGTGATTGTATGCGATGCGTTCAGGTACGAGATTTGTCTTAAATTACGGAATCTCAAAAGTGAAGATGACGAGTACTCGACTCCCAAAACTTTTAAAGTGGCTTCGACTTGGCTTTTTGGTTTTATCTTAAATACATCAGTTAAGTTTGCTGATTAGAAGTTGATTAAACAGAGGAGCCAGGCAGGGAACTGGATATCACAATGAATAGGAAAAAGGGTCATGTGGCAACAGATTGACTGACAACCACCAGTAAGCTTTTGTACACTTATCAACAAAAGGAGTCAATAATGCTTCAGATTACAATATCCTCTTTTAAGAAGACTTAAAGAGACATAGTATAGTAAATAAGATCTGTGTAGGACAAAAAGCCAAGAACGCAAATGCTTTTCTTAAGCTGCGTTTAAATCTTTTAAATGAGAGCTTTAAGTGAAGAGTAAATCACAACATTAATTTTCGGAGCTGAAGTTCACTGATTGGTTGCGATATGTTTCCTGAATCCATCGAAATCTCGTCGAAAGTTTCTCTAAAAGGCAGTATATGGCAATGAGATAGCAGCGTAAAAGGGGTTCTACCAAATGATCAATTGCATTTAATGCTTTTGAATCATGTCTACCGGTTCAAGACATCCGACTGCAAAGGGTTGAAGCATTCACCACAAACGACTTAAGGCATGGCAATTTAGTGAGAGTAAAGTGCACCCGAGTGGATACAAAAGAGCTATTTTTAGAGTTTAGATTGACAGAGGTTGCTGAGCCTCTTACCATTCCCTTGAAATTTAAAACCAAATGCCTTTAGCTCCGCTCTTCACTGGCTAAAAAGACTATTATTGGGGCACACAATTACCCAGCAAGCATAAAAGTGGATGAGAAAGCAGTTCACAGTCCAACTTAAAACAATTTCTGATCAAGTTCTGCATCTTTGTGTTAGTCATCCACTCTAGCACAAAATGGGAACTCGTTTAGGCTCTAAAATAACATCTCGACAATTTTAATGTCGACAAAGCGATGAGATATTCACGAGGTTAACATAAAGTGCATCGGATTTATACACAAAGTGTTACGAGCAAAGCAGAGCAAAGTTCGCACATTTTTATACTACAACATAAAGTGGATTAGAAACTAAACTTTTAAAGGATTATTTTTGGCAAGCATAAAATATATCAATTGAATAAAATCACTGGCCTACTAAGAAGAAAATCTCATTACCCCACTGTCGGAAGATCATCGATGCCGTCTGTAGTTGAATTGTCTTCGTTGATTGCAGAATCACTTTGAAGGTTCGACGAGGTGTCAGACACTTCTGCGGCCATAGCATCTCCAGACTTATTTTTCTGAGAATCATTTGCGCACATTTAGCATAAAATCATCAAAGTGAATAATCCATAAATCAGACCCCTTTGACTTTACCAATCCCTTGTACAAGTCATAAATCTGGCAAATTTGTTGCTCCAAGGCCATCATGGTTTTCTTTAAGCCACTAGATGCTGGCGTGTCCAAATCCGCCTCCAAGTCAGTGTCGAAATGCACGATTGATTTTAGGAATGCAATTTCCCTAAGAATGTGCTTAGCCAGCTTCCTTGCCTTATTGAGAGACTTCGTCAACGCCACCGTTTCCGTTTTAATGCCCACATACTTTTCCTAAAAGCAAGCCTACATTTACTTTCTACTAATAAAAATAAGTAAAAAATAACGTTAAGGCAGCTCACATCAAGTCTTAATATCTGCTCTCGAAAGAGATCCGCGCTTGCTTTGAGCTCATCTATAGTACGGGCCTTTTCCTCCTCAAGTCGATCGATTTCTTCTTTGATTTTTGAAGACTTCGATTCCTGGACGTTGATGTACTCAAATGCGCGATTAATTTGGGCTTCTTTAGATTCGAAAAGTTTGACGATTTCTTCAACATCGGTTACACCCAACATATTTCCAAGTTTATTAAGGACTTCTTCAAACCCCTCAATATGACTTATTTCCGATTCATACGTAGCTGCTTGGTCTTCAAAATGGAAAGTAGCAGCATCAAATACAGCCGTTAAATATGTCCGATAAAAACGATTACATACTAATAGAGATTCAAAATTTGCAGAAATTTCAAAGCTAATGCGAATTTAAGTACTCTTATAAAATGCTAAATTATAGCACTGTAAATCAGTCTCGGATTCTATCAACGTGAAGGTGTAAAGATTAACATGTTTGTCAAATCAAATGTGCACAGTGCTATTTGACAGTAGCATGACAATTTTGTGGAGCCTTACCTAGTTTCGGAATGATTGAATGCTTATATCGGCTTTTAGATTTGACTTTAATAAAGACTTGTAAGCGACTCATATAATCGTTTGTCCGTTGACGTTCCTTTATCTCCAAATCAATCAAGTCTTTGTCCTTTTTATTTTTTGCCGAAACGGCTCGAATTTTCTTTACGAGTTTTTCGCTAGATTAAAGAAATGTTAGTGTTACGACGTTTACCGTTCAGAAAGTACATCCAAAGAGGTATGAACAAGTCGATTTTTCTCTTGTGAGAGTTCCTCCAGTTCCCTTAAAAGCCTTTCCCATTTCTTTACAAAGAGCCTTCTATCAGTACAAATGATGTCGATTTCTCCCCGAATTTTGCCGATAGATGCATAAAGCAAACCGAGTTTTTCATTTTCCTATAACATAAGATCTCTGGTATATGTACCTTCTGAAGCTTATTTTCTGCAACTAATTTGGCTTTTTCGCAGTCTTGTAAACATCTGGTATAATTTGACATTTCAATATTCCTTAATCCACTCAGCTTTTCACTGTAGGAGCGTATCTATAACTGAATAAATTTTATCAAAGAAATAAACTTGGCTATTTAATTCAATATGCTTTTGTTTTTCCTTCTTAATCCTTTTCATTATTCGGTCCGATGCATTGACGAAATCTTTAAGTTTGGTAAGTGATGTTTCCTCCCTTTTTCGACTCGCTAGACAGTTTACTATTGATTTTTGCAACTTGAGGTCTTCATTTTCTGACTTTACAAAATCAAACTCCTTCCTTGGGTAATAGGTAACATATACAGATTGATTACTCGCATTTACAAAATGAAACCCGAAAGCGTGATATCATCCGTTTCTTTTCGCGTTCCACTTTTCGACAATGTTGTAGCAATGTATGGTACTCTAGTTCCATTGCCAAACTATCGTCGGCACTTTTTTCAATCTTAAGCGAGGTCATTTATGAACCTTTAAAAGCTCAATAGCGTCGTTCGGATGCTCAAGGTTAATTGTGGATAAAATAAACACTTATAAGGTTCTATGTAAAACGCACAGTTAATTATGTGTCATACTATAGTTATTTTCTGTTAAATTGATGGACTATAAAATAAAAGACAATGTTTGTGAAAAATCATAACAATAATGTCACTCATGTAACAAATAAAAAAAGTGGCAAAACTTTACCAGAAGATAAACGCCTTGTCATTTCATTAGCCGTGAAATGCCTAAGAAAATTGTTTGGTAAGATTTGGTAGCTTGATTGCATGCTGATTAGAACTTTTGACAAAACTATATGGCCCTTACTGGGTTGCCTGTAGATTTATGTTTGGAAATCCTGGCTACAAGTATTTTGCCCCTCAGTACTGCTAACAAACACTCAAATTTTACTTGAATGACCTCTGGAATCTCTGATGGATCTCCAAGAATAAAGGAAGCAAACATATTAGCGGGTTCCATGTTTAGTAATACACCAACAATTAGGTCCCCTTTATGATAGACTTGTGATGAAAGTGAACCAACTTGACTCTTGACAAAAACAGCTAAATATATAGATACTAGGGATGAGTGCCTTTACTCAGAAAGAAAAGGAATGAGCCAGGGCTTGGCTTAACACGTTGAGCAGCCCGAGCAGGCAGAGGCAATATGAATGCAAGTGCGACAGTCAGTTATACGGGTAGTTGAATGAACAACTTAATAAAATCATGCTACATTTATGTTGATAGCAAAGGTGTTCGATTGGAGAAAAGTTTAATACAGTTTAGTCTTTCAAACCGAGTTTCGTTAACTTCTAAAAAATGCACACGTCTAGCCAAATTCACCGTTCTTAGCTCATCAGCCACGAGCCCACACAAGTTACCAACTCGTGCTTTAAACGCACAATCTATTTATAGCAACCTTTTCCAACGGGAGTTTGACGATTCTCTGAGTTTTTACCATAGCGTCCCGCGGCTCCGCAATGGGTAGAAGAAGGCAGTAAGTGAGGCTGGAAACATATATTCCGTAGAGCACAGAGAAAAGGGGCCTGAGCGTGGCCCGAGGGTCAGCACAAGTGTATTAGGGCCAGACAAATCCTAAAGTGATTGTCGAACGTTGGGTAGCCTCATAAACAAAGCATTACATCCACAGCGTCTTGAACCTCTTTTGGAGTTAAAATACAGAAATTGCAGAAGAATCGTCGTTACTAAAATGGAGAGGGGTCACGAGGCCGATAACATAGTCCAAACGAATCCGCTAAGACAACTGTCAAAACCGTTTCTCATGCTTAAAGTAACGATAAAGTAGTAGGTCACGAACGTTACCAACAGTTGCACCATCAGGTGGTCTGAGAAAAGCCACGCTTCGATCGAGCAAAGCAAACGGCAAAGAATACAAGGCAAAATTTTATTAAAATCCATCAATATTTCTGATTGCGAAAATCAAAGTATTTAAGGGTAAACGCTGTAAAACAGACACTCCTAACAGCTCTTCCAAATGATCGGGGGGTTGGATTATTATGCGATCGCTACATTCTACCAGCCGCAGAGCAATTTGAGCGCCTGTTAATGCACTGCTTAAGAACCTTACGAAGCACTGCTGTAGATGCCATTCCTTTATGGTTCTCCTTGCTTGAAGCAGGGTTCCTTAAACACACACTTTGTCGTAGAATTCAAACGAATTTCTTTGGGTTCCAACATAATCTACGACAATGGCTTACCGTTTATAGCCTGAGTTACTTTTGAAGAAGTTGCGTGGTGCAGATTGCATTGTAACCAGTGAACACTGCGCCTAAGAGTGAAATCACATGGACGGCAAACTTCAAGCATGAAAAATAAAGGCTCTCCTAGGAACGTGTGCAGCAAAAGGCTTTGAACTTTACGATATTATTTAAACTTCTTCCGCCACATGCATAAAACTTATAGCGCACACGTTACGCAACTTATTGTGAATAAAGTTAATTATGGGTGAATGCAAATTTGCTTAAAATCCAAAGTGAAGTAGTTTTTTAATGTTCTCATTCAAATTAGTGGAGTATTTTTGTATGCTTTAAACCAAATATCGTTGTTCAACTAAGTTGTGCCGAACCTATGTTTACGGGAACTTCTTTGGATTTTGAATTAGAGAAAAATTTACTATTTGATTGGCGTTTTTTGGTGGAGGACAACATTTTTTAATTGAAAATGTTGTTAAGGTGATAAAAACAGGGCAATGACTTGGGAAAAGTTTAAATGATGCAATTTCTGACTTCAAAGTTAAGGGCATTTTGCTATTAGATTTACTGTTTTAGTGCCTTAACGCTAAAAATAGAAGTGACGATTCTAAGCATAACCGATGGTTCACAGAATTTTGTGACAATGACATTTTACCAGGAGGAGTCGATTCGTTGCTTATGCTTTATCAGTAAAATGGTAAGTTAGTAACCGAAATCGCTTTTGACACTTGATTTGAAATTGTGAGGAAAAGAACTGTACGAAAAATCTGCTTTTAGTATAAGGACCAAAAGGACTTAATGAGAACTTCTAATAGCATAGTTATTTTTAGTTCTCTTTCGATTTTCATTGCTCCTTTCGCATTTGCAAATTCTGTAGAATTGGTAGGTCAATTAATTGGTTCATCCTAAAGCCTTTTCCGTGTGGACGAATTTTGTGCCCACGGATGGGACTCAATTCCACGTCAAGATCCAATCATACTTAATTGTTCCCTTAAGTCCTATTTCAAGTCTTGCACTGCTGACCATAGTGTAGAAAGTCAGATGAAGATTTGCTCCTAGTCAGCCACCCCTAATTGGCTTCCCCCATAGGAAGGTCCACTTAACTATCAACCGATGCATTTTGTGGGAGAACTCATGGGCTGGCAAATTTCATCCCCGTCCCAGATGTGAGAGCTATCGCATCATAGTTGCACCACGAATTACCGAATAGCCTGACACACAGAGCACAGTAGAGTGCTAGACTTCGATCCTCATTTGTATTTTATTGCTTAACGTCCTCTAAAATAAATTTACACAAGGTGCAAATAATTAAAAATGATCATTTTTGGGCTGCATAAAGGTTGTGTCCAAGTGATTACCTACCATTGAGTCTGTAATTGATTGGTATTTAGGTTGATAATTTATGTTCGTGCTATTAGACTTCTGCCCAGTGGTATGCTTTTTGTTCATGTTGTTGTTCTTGACAAAGATAATATAACATTCGGCCTGAGTATCACACCTCCTTTCGGCTTTGGGAAACCCTTGGAGTGCTGCAACTGTGCCCATGGAAAGTAAATCCTATCATATAAGCCCACTTCCTCTGCAACTATTATTGAGTTCAAGAATAGACAAAGCGTTAATGATGCGGTGAGAAATTAAGTAATGACCGTCAAAAGAAGATGGCTGATGCAAAGAGATGATTAAGAGGAGCATTAGGGACGACAATGCAAACTTACGATTGGTTATGCAATGCATTACTTATTTCTCCTACCCTCGCTTTTGGCAATAGACTCCTCAGAGTTCCAGCCAGTTCCGCCAGTTCCAATTCTAGCCTACGCGACTCTGTCAGTTGGCAATGCGTGATTCATTGTACTATTGCGCCTTCTTTGGTGCAGGCTTGTGCGTCCATCTATCAAAACTTTCAAAGGTCACTATGCATATGCTTACAACACAGTTTCCTTTGAGTCTTCCGCGAAACAATTTGATGGAGAAGAACCCAACTTCTATCTGTACTTTCATTGGTTGTTTTCTGCCCTCAATTTTGCGTAGGCCTAAAAGACTGTGAACTGGAGTGAGCTAACAAATTTGAAGGCTTTTGTGAGACTACTCGGTAATTACAAAATAGGCAATAACGAACAGACAAATTTTGCCTTTTGTTCGAGAAAATTAGGGTAGGTTAAACGCGAACCTAAATCTAGTAGCAAACCGTTGTACGATTCCATTTTTCAGTGCTTTGAAAAATCCACGTTCACTTCCACGTCTGCAAAAGGCGAATCGTAGTGATATTATTTTCCTTTAAATTAGGATCTCAAGTCCTCCCTTTACTGCCATTGTGACGGCCGTACTCTTCTGTGATAGAAATCAAGGGTCACTCCAAGCAGAAGCATAAGGCGTTCCCTGGCATCTTGTTAGCAGTCCTTTCATTCACGACCAAAGATTGAATAAAATATTAATCAAATGACTCACCATTAGCAAAATCCAACTGCAGACACCATTTCAGCTGAGAAGTCAGTCGAACTGAAGCGCACAATGCATTGCTGTATCAAAGCGAAAATCTTTGCGTTAAGTGAAAATTTATTTTTGTAGCAAGTGAGTCTTAATGAAAGGTCTGTAACTAAAGATCACAATTTGTCACCTTTTTTTCTGGAGTGCAAACGGAATGCAACTTGCCTAAACCAACCAAACAGAGAGGTTGGTCAAAGCAAAATCCACAAGCACCGCTGTTTCAAGACAAACCGCTTTTGTGTGGGATTAAAGAAGACCGGAAATAAGCCTTTTTACAATTTAATTAAGCTAGTGCAAGAAAATGACTCTCAGCAAACGATTTCAACTCTCCGCAGACGCGAAATTCAAATTAAACGCAAACTTTTCCCATAAAACGCTAGATATGAGCGTCTTGGTTTGTCAAAATCAAATCAAGGAAGGAAAGCTTACACGCCTTATTAGGAACTCTGGCAAAAGTAAAAACATTTAACATTATTCTTTCACTGACATTAAGCAGTCTGTTTGCATTTGCGTCCCAAGATTGGCTCACTTCTGCGGGGTTGACTTCTCACCTCCCTGGACAGTGGATCATCTCGAAATTGTCAACGTCAAGAAAAATACTCTTTAAATTTTATTTTGATGAGTTCACTTTTATGTGCATTATTTAAGAATGCCTAGTCAAAATTCGCTGTGTGGAGACTTAACTACGCCATCGGTGTTTCCACCTTCAAATACTTTTGGGGCAGAAAATTAAGCTACTAATTAGCTACAAATCCCATAAAGCCTTGAATAAATAAAGATGAAAACAACGATACGCATAATAAATGCATTTGAGAACCTTTGTGGAATGGCGCCTAAGTTTGTTAAAATACAACTGAGTGTATCAATGCAATTCCACCAAGAAGGAGGTCGGAGTGAATGTTAATGGCTAAATTTTTAATGACGATCCGATTGATTTGCTCGTTAAGGACCAAATAAAAGTTAATAACACGAACATTAAGACTGTAAAACATCAACAAGCTCTTGTATCATGGTCACCACTTTAAATATACCAACATTTATCGAAATGAAAAAGCAAGAGGCAAAATTACTTCTACTACAGACCCATTTTATAAAATTAAATCTTGCTGAATTCCGTTTCTCCCTTGCTTCAGTCTTAACTACTAATTCTGTCACATGTGACAGCTTACTGCCTTGAAGGAGTGACAGTCATGAATTGGAGTTTTAACATCATCAGGCCAAGGTAAAGGGTGAGGTAGTACTTCCCTTCATTGACTATTAAAGTATAATATGAGGTCATCGTAAA